TCCTCTCCATTCGGCACCACGGGTCCCGGAAGCAGCCCCGCCGCACGCCGGCCCCGTTACCTGCGCCTCCGGCGGCCCTGCGTCCTCGGCGCTCTCATCCTCACGCGGGCCCCGGACGGCCAGCACCGGGAGACGCAGCCTCGCCCCACTCCGCGGCGACCGCTCTGCCAACCCGCGACGGGCCCGCGGACCACCGCGGCCCTCCGGCCCACACCCCTCGGGCCCGCCCCTCGGGCCGTGGATTGGTGCTTTCCTGAAGCGTCCGGCGGCGCCCGGCCTTCGTGACCCGCTGCCTATTGGCTCCCAGCCCCGTCGCTCAAGCGCACTTCCTGCTTCCGCTCCTTTCCTCCGCTTCCTGTGCAGAGCGAGCGTGGCGAGACCAGGCTTTCGGACGCCGAGTTTTCCGGTAAGCTGAAACCGGGCCTGCGGCGGTTTCTACAAGAGCCTCCCCCGCTCAGGATCCGGGGTCGGGAAGGCGAGGCCCGCTGCCCCGGCTGGGCTCCGTTTAAGAACGGGCCCTGCGGGAAAGGGGATCACGCATGGCGGCTACAGGGCCGCGAGGCGCGCCGGCTGCTAAGGACACGTCAGCCTCGAGGCCTGCTGACGGGCGGCCCTGCCTCGGAGGGGCAGGCGAAGCCGCGCGGATGGGGTGCTCGGAGAGGGCTCGGGCGGGTCGGAAGTGTATACCAGCTCGCGCACTGCCCTAACCGGACCCGAGAGCTGGACGGTGGAGGAGGCGCGTTGGGGGGGGGGGCGCAAAGAAACGTCCTTCGGAGCAAGGAAATCAGGTGAGCACGACCACGCTTTCCTTTTTATGCAGCTGCAGTAAGTGAAGGCCTGAGGGAACCCGCTTTGTACAGAAAACTGTACCGGGCCTCCCCGTGCCGTGACTTTTTTTTTTTTTTTTTTTTTTTAAGTAGGTCTTGTTCTGTAAAAAAAAACAAAACTCAGACTCCTGGAGGCTTGTAGAAATGATTTTGTCTAGGTAGACCGGAGTGTGGGGTTTTCGGCAGCGCCTATTTCCGCACCCTGGGCAGTTGTGCAACGCGTTCTGTTTCTGCCTAGCGGCCTCGCCCCTTACGTTCGTGTTCCTGGAGTTTGTGACACACAATGTAGAGCCAGTGAACTCTTGCATTATTCTAATACAAATTATCGGTAAGCAACTTGGGGACGGCCTCTCTCTGCCTCTAAAGAACCACTTGCAGCTGCTGCTAAGAGCATGTATTTAGGGCAGCTTGAGTCTAAACTCCTGGGTTGCAGTCCTCAAACGTGGCCCACATCTTCTCTTATATTAATTTTGCCTCTGTTTTTTCCTAAGTACGTATCATTGCTCCAATAATTTGTTTCCAAAAGATGTGCGCTTATCTGGGCCTTTATTCACATGGAAAATGAATACTTGGTAGTTTATACATTGCTGATCTATGTGATACTGTTTTCCTACAAATATCTACTGGTATAAAACTTTCACTTTTCAGAATGTCTAATGTCTACTACCTTCTTTTAAATATTTTATTACAGTGTTCATCGTATACACAGCTCTACTGCAGAGATGGTCAATGTACCTAAAACCCGAAGAACTTTCTGTAAGAAGTGTGGCAAGCACCAACCTCACAAAGTGACGCAGTATAAGAAGGGCAAGGATTCTCTGTATGCCCAGGGAAAGAGGCGCTATGATCGGAAGCAGAGTGGCTATGGAGGGCAGACAAAGCCAATTTTCCGGAAGAAGGCCAAGACTACAAAGAAGATTGTATTAAGGCTGGAATGTGTTGAGCCTAACTGCAGATCCAAGAGGATGCTGGCCATTAAGAGATGCAAGCATTTTGAACTGGGAGGAGATAAGAAAAGAAAGGGCCAAGTGATCCAGTTTTGAGCTTTGGGATTTGTTTTTTGTTTTGAGGGGGGAGATGTTAAAGCTATAGAAAAATTGTAGGAAAATAAATACGGTGATTTTTCACTCAGACCTTTTATGTTTGACCTATGAATTACATGTTTATTTTTTTGTTTTGTTTTGGGTTTTTTTTTTTTTGAGTTGGAGTCTCACTCCGTCACCCAGACTGGAGTGCAGTGGCTG